TCAGCAACATTTAATTTAAAAACTGTACTTTTGAGGTTAAACAAATGTTCATAATTGATTTAAATAAATTACAAGTTAAAAGYGGCATGGACATTTCTCTTTTTTGTATCGAAATAATATCGAACCGTGAGACTAAAGTATCAAACCGAAACGAATCGTGAATTTTCTGTATTGTTGCAGCCCTCATATGTATATAATACGGTACTCACTTGGCTAATCATTAGCCTACGCTGAAGAAATATTTCTGCTCTTTTATTTCCCCTGGTGTAGGACTGATGTCACAGCTGATAACCCAGATAGCAACAGATGTTAATTTAATATTGAACTGACAATTGATGGTGAATCAACCATCAAACAATCATCCAATTCCAGTCAAATAACCAATGATGAAAAGATGTTACTGAATCAATGTTTCACAGTCAAATTCTAATGACAGAAGTGCCAACGTCTAATCAATACTGAATAAACATTGATGAAATATCAGTTATGGTTGAAAACCTGTTTCAACAAGTACTGAGCACTTTCTGTTTAATTTCAACATGGCTTCAACATCATGCCTGACCGTATCTCAATGATTCACTCATATTTTACTATCTGGGAAGGTACTAAATGTCACCTATTGAACAGAACATCTTTTCATGCTTGCTTGTAGCCAGAACTGTGAGCAGCACCGTGAGTTAACGAGTCCAAAAAATCAAAGAACCAGACTCAGAGGTATCAGCTAAGTCTTGATTACCTGAGGGGATCCAGTGACCTCGCTGTTGGTGACAGAAACTGAACCAACACCTGCCTCGTGGTGTTGTACATAAATAAAAGTGCTTTTCATTCACATTTAAGAGAACTTCAAGTGTGCTCAGCAGGAATTACCTTGTTTTAACTTGTAGTTCAGAAGAGCTTCGGAGACATTTGTTGTTGGACTGAACGCAGRGCAGAAAACAGTTGAGCCAAGACATCGTCTTGGATCATGAAAGATACATCTCTCATAACTGGTGCAACTAACTGGATTATGTGAGCGCAGATAGAGCAGCTAATGGAAGCTGAGGCGTAGTGGGAATACGGCCCGTTAGCTGACTGCGTTTGCCTGAAATGCTAGCCTGCCAGGCTTTTTCACCGAGACAAAATCCCTGTTGCACTTAGAACTCATCCATTTTTAATGCCACGGTCTCAGCTGGAGAAGTACATGAACACACAACTGAGACGAGGAGGAGGAGGGGGTTATAATATATGCAAACTCATATCAGAAGCAATCATCAGGCTTGTTCTGCTGGTTGGAGAGAGTGAAGACAGTAAGGCCATTCATAAACTAATTACAGTCTTTCTCTGTTCATTATTTCCTTAATTTGTGGGACATTTGAAGCAGTTCAAACTGCGGCAGGAAGAAGCAGCACAGCTGCATGTTTGTGTACAGCTGTGACTTTTTGTTGTTGTTCTTGCAAAGCTTCCAGCCTGTTTTTGAGATCTGCAGCCATTCCACAGATGGCAGGCGGAGAAGGCCCGGAGCCACCCGATCCGCCCGGTCCGAGCCGAGGCCCGGGCCAAGACATTCCTGCGTGGGCAGACCTCCCCTGAACAACAGTGAAACAACTGCAGCTCTGTGTTTGTCTTCTTCAGATAAATCTGCGAGACGCCAGCGACACAGAGCAGCTCGAGTTTGACCAGAGGTTAAAGTGAACCCCCCCCTCCCTCTGTTTGGAAGAAGCGCACACTCAAAGACTCTCTGTGAGTCGGTGAGTCATTAACCGAGCAGATTTACGGCTCACAAAGCCTCGCCTTTGTTTCTGGTTTCATCAGTTCGCCTCCAGTCCGTCGGTTAAACCACAACCTGACACTTTGACACAAAGTGAACCACAAACAAAACACGAAGCGTCGTTTCAAATATTCGATACATTTTTATTTCTCTAGTGAATTCATGTTATTCTGCACAGCAGCATACAGTCAAATATTGTAAAATATAAATAACAAAGTTCAACAGTGTTTTTTTTTTCTTCTTAGTCGTTTAATCAAAAACTTCTGTTAAAAGTGGCGATCGTCAGCATCACTTCGCAACAACCACTCTTTGTACACACCCTCGATGCAATATCAGACATCTAATCTTTAAAAAGTATGGGCATWTTCATTATTTACACACGGTCACCTTTGGGTGAGCAATGCTTATAGCTTTTGGAAACTCGCTTCAGTTATGTTCAACGCACAAAATGAAAATACAATTATGTTATACAAAGATCAAAAATACTATCAAAAACCCTTATTATAAATGGCAGCGCTATATCAATAAACTGCTGTTGACATTTTACATGTTAGTACAAAATCCCGTTGAGGTAGCACCCTCTGAAGTCACTTAATGTTAAAATACTGGGGAAAAAAAKCACATTTTTTATTTTATTATATTTTTTATAATACAGCAAATCTTTCYTATTTCGTCCACACAGTTGTATTCCTTTGGTAAACAAAACTGTCAGAAATGTGCAGTCCTGCAAGTGACACGTTCAATCATACATTCATGTTTGCATCTTTTGTTGTTGTTCAAAATAATTATTGTTTACTGACATTCATTTGCTATTTCTTACGGAGCCCGCGAGGGGACATGGGAGATTTTTTCTCTTTTGTGTTCCCACGCAATACTTTTGCGCTACCTCGCAAAAGTAGTTTATCACTTTTGTGCCTGCCGGTTTATTAGCAAACTCACATGTTTACCGTTAGCGCGTTAGCCAACTGCTTTAATTCTGCTTCAGAATGAATATATCACACAACCACGCATAGAAGTATGTCATATGCCGATATTTTAACACAGAGCAACCACGCAACACCAATGTCAATTTCACGAACTTGTGGCGACACATCCTGTTTTGGTAACCGGATATTTCAAAATAAAAGTCTGATTTAATTCAGTTCATATACAAAACAATCTTTTGCGTGGGAATGCAAAAGCGTTGCGAGGGAACGCAAAAGTGTTGCGAGGGAACGCTAAAGCGTTGCGAGGGAACGCTAAAGCGTTGCGAGGGAACGCAAAAGCGTTGCAAGGGAACGCAAAAGCGTTGCGAGGAAAGCAAAAGTATTGCGAGGGAATGCAAAAGAGTTGCGAGAGAACGCAAAAGTGTTGCGAGAGAACGCAAAATTGTTGCGTGGGAACGCAAAATTGTTGCGTGGGAACGCAAAAGTGTTGCGGGGGAAGGCAAAAGTGTTGCGAGGGAAAGCAAAAGTGTTGCGAGGGAACGCAAAAGTGTTGCGAGGGAACGCAAAAGTGTTGCGAGGGAACGCAAAAGTATTGTGTGGGAGCGCAAAAGGAAAAAAATCCCCCCATGTCCCCTCGCAGGCTCCGTAATTTCTCACCCCCACCATAAGCAGTGCAAGGTAAACAGGCCCCCCTGCACCTCATTCTGCAGGGCAGACAGGAAACCCTCCAGGGAACAAACAGAAAAAAAAAATCAAGAAACCTGACCTGACAGAGAAAAGAATCCAGTGTGTCACCCTCTTCTGGGAATGTAAACATAAAAAAATAGCTTCTTCGCATTTTTTGATTGTTTCTGAGGTCAAATAACTTTCTCATTTCGCGGAATGGAAACAAAAGTTTGGCATCAACTCATCCCCCCAGTGAACATCGGAGCCTAAAACAAAGACTGTTGTCTTTTTTTTTAGCTTCTTCCACTCAGATTGAATGTCAACTTTTAGAGCAAGTTGGAAAACGTGTTGTGGAGTTTGTCAGAGCTCCCTCCTCCTCCAGTTACACAACTAATGACACATTCTCAAGCTTCTTTAATGGCAAACATAACTTTGGTTTTCTAAGACGTGAAAAAGAAAAATGAAATTAAAACAGGGAGCTTAGCTCGCTGTAAAAAAAATACTTGGCAGAAATAAGACATTCATCCTCTTCGACAATGTCAGTGTATTTCCCTATACGACCAAAAATGTTCTGAATAAAATGTCAAACATCTTCTGATTATTCAAACAAATGTGTATTTATATGCACACGTTTCAAATGACTACAAACTATGACAAAATGTATAAAGCATAAAATTATTCTATGTGGATAAAAGAACTATAAAAATATAAGAAATCTCATAGAAGGAAGAGAAAAAAGGATAAAATCAGTATGTTTATGGAACAGAAAATCAAAAAACAGTCATCTGGAAATTGTTCAGTGCAATTCAGTTTACTTTATGGTCTCTTGTTTAAAATATTTTCATCCTCTTACCGCCCACAGCCCTGCCCCCCTTTAATGGTCGCTGGGGGGGCTGCTCTTTTGACAGCGGACAGTATTTGATGGTGTGGGCATTGTCCCCGTTGGCGCTGCAGAGGGGGCAGGTGTACGCCCTCAGAATCGGGCACACGACCCTGCCGTCCGGGGTCTTCAGCACGTGGGAGCCGAACACCTCCTCGGGCGCGCCGTTATTCCGGCAGAACACGCAGATTTTGGGCTCCTGTTTGCTCCGCGGAGCCGCTTTGCGCATCTTCCGCTCCGCGCCGAACAGGTCGAAGCCCGCGAAGCCCCCGCCGAGGCCCGCCCCCGGCTCYGGGAGCTGGCTCCGGAACGGGCTCAGGATGGAGAAGCGCTCCTTCAGGTCCAGGATGGAGGGCGGCGGGGGGCTCCCGGACGGACAGCAGCAGTCCAGGTGTCCGCCCTCCCCGACGCCGCCGCCGCCCGCGATTACGCACGGGCACGCCGCGGAATCGTCCAAACCCAGAGTGGCTTTGAGGGACTCGGTGATGGAGTTGGGATTCTGGGGCATGCTGAGCTTATTATTCTTCGTGACCAACGTCGTCAGCCCCAGGTAGTCGTTCCAGAAGTTGAAAGTATAATCATACGGATTGCGCGCGCTCAGATAGTTGTGGTTGAGAAAATCCATGATCTCTGCCGCTCGTTTCTGCCGCGAAAAGAGGAAAGCGCCAGTTTAATCCGTCAGAGTTCAGCTCCAGGGATACTTCACGAACAGCGACGTGGTCTCCGGTGGTCCTGGTTGGTTTGGAGCGTCCTGCGGCCAGGCTCTCTGTTATAAGGAGCAGGAGGGCGGGGCGCGCTCTCCTATTCAAACCCAAGTTTGTGATCAGGGCGAAGCCTTCCCCCCCTTCATAACCACATTCAGAGTTGTTTTCCTGCCGGGAAMCTCTGAGGCCACATCAATCACCATCCTGACGTTTTAGAGCAAAAAAGGTTTTAATAGTTAACGAATCCACCCAAAATACTGAGAAATTATTGATTTAGTTAGAAACCCTTGTTCTGACTGATCACATTGTTTCATAATGCTCCTTAAAAATGTTTCCTCTTCGTTTGAAACACAGCTTTTAAACACAGTTCTGCAGTGGCCACTGTATAATAAATCTTTGTTTTGTCAGGGATTATTCCTTTGGGGAAAACATGCACTTATAGCAAAATGTAAAACAAGTGTTTTGAAGGCACTTTTTGCAATAAATACATAGTGTAGCCAGAGGATTTTAAAAAATCATGGAACAAACAGAAAATCATGTACTGTAAATTTATTAATTTTTATTTTAAAAACGGACTCCTTAAAAACACATCAAATGTAAACAAGCTGCAGATCAGTTTTCAACAGGGGGCGGCATCATGCAYTGATGGGTCAGGGTGGACCACAAAAACTGCAGTTTTATTTTTYACACCGACTTTGAACAAGAACAACAAAACAAAGATGTYGTTTGTAAAAAGGATGTAAAAGTTAAGGAATAAAAACTGCTTGAGTTAAAGCAACAAGTGAGTAAAAATTAGTCCTAAGTACCCATACTCCCCCCACTGAGGACTGGGCTTTTGTCCCCAGAAGGAACAGTGGGTTCTTACTAGGCTGTGTACCAGGAAAATGGTTGAAAACCGTCCCCAAGTGACCCCGTGGGGACCTTCCATTGACTTCCATTCATGTTTTTTAGACTTTATATCCTAACCCTTACCATATACTCTAAAATTAACCTCACAGAAACTTACCCGACCCTAAAACTAACCTAAACCTTGGTCCTAAACCTAACCCCACACCTGGAACATGCATTTGGACCTGTGGAGACCTGACAATGGTCCCCACGATTCACTTCGGTCCCCACCTGGCTGCTTTTTTTGTAAAAAAATATCCCACGTTGTAGGAAAAACACACACACACACACACACACACACAGACACACACACACACGTTTGTTTGTGTAGCCTCATGGGGACTTTGCACTGACTTTCATTCATTTACCCATCAGCGTACCCTGTGGCAGAGTGGTTAGAGGAGTTGTCCTAAAACCTGTAGGTTACCAGTTCAATCCCCCATTCCAGCTGTCTTAGTTGTTGTGAGTTCGGCTTTGGTGACATTTGGGGAGAAAAGTCGAGTCCCCATTTGGTTTAAATACCATTGGTGGGTTGGGGGTCGGGTTTAGGACCAAGGTGTGAATTGYGTTTAGGTTAGTTTRAGGGTCAGGTAGGTACCTGTGAGGTTAGCCTTATAGGGTTTGTGGTCAGGGTTAGGATGTAGAAATGTAATGGAAGTCAATGGAATGTCCCCAATTGGATAGCTGTGCAAGCATGTGTGTCCTTGSGCAAGGAACTTCACCCCCGATGCCTCTGTTCCTGTTCAAGTAGTCCATTTAAACCACCCCAGTACATATTGAAGGACTGGGCTTTTGTCCCCATAATGAACCAGATCCTCATCAGGTAGCAAAAAGATGCACACACACGCAAAATGGGGGAAAGAAATTAAAAAGCAAACAAAAGTTTCTTTGTGTGTGTGTACACACACTGCTTGATGTTATCACTAATTTGACATATTTCTGTATGTAAATTGGTGTATCTGCTTACTGCAGCAGAAAGAGAAGAGAAGAGAAGCTGTTCCTGAGTTTCAGGACAGACGAGGCAGCCATCCTAAACAGACCTCTCACTGTGGGCCTCTGATCCCGTGATTAAGTGGGCATCTGAGGAATGTGGAAGCAGCTCTCTTGAACCAACGATAGCACGAGTGACTTGTGTTCTAATTAAAACTTCCAGGGGAAGAGCTGCAGGAACCCCCCGACTTGGAAGCGTCGCGTCTATTTTCTAACGGATATAATAAGAATGCAGCACGTTACGAGACGCAGTGATGAAAAAACGAGAGCCTGGTTCACCGAGCTGCAGTGTGGTCGAGGTTGTTTCGAACCGTTTTGTGCGCTCAGCAAGTTGGACTGAAACAGTATCGACTCCTCATTGGATTTTCCCTCCACCCCGCTGGTGCAAAATATGAATTTTATGATAAAGCATTAATAATGCATTTAATCAACAATTTTTTTTTTTATCCTGCGAGCCAGGATGGATTGTGAGAGTAGATTCCTGTGTTGCTGCGGTGCAGCTGAAATATTCATGGCCACATTATCCCTTTTAGTTTGTTGTGACTAAGAGGAATTAATACTCTGCCATTAACTAAAGCTAATTCTGCTGCTGCCTCGAGGTTACATGAATATATTCGACAAGGAAGTGAAAATAGCAGCAGGATGATGCATGCAAATGGATGGCTGTGGCTATAAATTATTTAAAAATTTATTCTGTTATTTAAAGGTCTTTATGCTTGACAAAGAAAAACAAACTCAAGAGGTTAAGAGAGGAAAATATAAAAAATTGCTKAACTTAACGGTGTGATCATCTTATTTTTAATTGTGTGAATGCTGAGTCAGCATATTCATGATTGTTCCTGTTTTCTTTGTAAATTTTTTCAAACATAACTATACGTTGTGCTATTTTAGCCTTTATAGGTCAAAATGTTCAGCTTACTCTGAAGATAGGTGACTTTTTGTTTTTCTGACTTTTATACTTCATAAAATACTTATTAGAAATCTTTTCCGATAGAAATACATTAGAGATCTCAGTTTTATTTGCCTTTTAGCTAATGTTCTGCTCCTTTTAGCCAGTGGTGGAGAAAGAGCTC